GAACTACCTAATGACTAAGTTGGTCTTTGCCTCTGTTGGCAGCGGAACAAAAACAAAAAAATTACTAAACCTATCAACAATCACCATGAACTGGTTCTCTCCGTTCCAACTCCTAACCTTAGTGTTCATACAGTCAATAGCCCCGGAGTCTCCGGGACCAGACGGGATAGGCAGTGGTTTCAAAAGTCCAAGGGGAGCCTGTGTGGAACTCTTGTTCCTTTGACAGACTTTGCAGCCCTGAATGTAGGTGATACAGTTATGCTTCATTCCAACGCAAGTGTAGGACTGGAGGAGATTCTTGTAAGTCTTCCTCTAACCGAGTTGGCCCTCGTCATCATGACATTTCCCCAGGATCAAGCCACATACTTTTTCATCAGTAGGAATGCACAGTCTATCCTTGACATCAGTCTTTTCGAAGAGTAACCTGCTGGTGACGGGGTAATCTGGGACTTCGTGGGTTGCTGTCTGCACTTTCCTAATCAGCCCACTATAGACAGGATCGTAAGCAGCCCCGATCTGCTGCTGGAGCTCGGTGCCAGCATCAAGGTAAGTCACTATGGCACCGAAAGTTTGCACGTCTACTCAGCGTGTCAGCGACAACGTTGTACTTCCCTTTGACCGGCGTCACCTCAAAAGTCAACTTGTTCGATTTTCCCAGCCCACCTAGTCAACTTGGGTGTCATTCGGGCCTGGGTTTTCAGCCAGCGCAGGGTCTCGTGATCAAAGTAGACTTTGAAGTGTCATCCTAGGAGGTAGTGTTACTAGCGGTTCATCGCTGTTCTCTACACAAATAGTTCGTGCTCATATGTTGAAGCAGTGACCTTCTCGCTAGTTAGTCTGCAGGGCATGTACTCTACGGGCCTATATCCATCCCCATCATTCTGTTGGAGGACAACGCCTATTCCATATTGACTTGCATCAGTCGTGACGATGAATGGAAGTGATGGATCTGCAATTTTCATGACTGGATACTCAATCAGGGACTTCTTTAATGTCTTAAATGCTGATGTACAGTCCTTATCCCACTTCCGAACTGTCTCCTTCCTCAGCGGTCTACGCAGGGGCGCAACAATCGTAATGAAGTTCCGCACAAACTTCCGATAATAATTGGCCTATCCTGAGAAGGACCGCAGTTCAGTCAGCGTGTACGGGGTTGACCGGTAACGAATTGCTGCCATCTTTGCGTTTTCCTGCTGGACCTCATCTCCATCTGACATGTGGCCTAGGTATAACACTTGGCGCTTAGCCCATTCACACTTCTTCGGGTTCAACTTGAACTTTGTCGTGCGCAGCTGATCTAGAATCAAATGCAGATGATGTTGGTGCTCTTCTAACGTCTTACTAAAAATCAAGATATCGTTTAAATAGACAACTACAAATTTATCAAGCCAGTTTTGAAAGAGGTCACTCATGCATCTTTGAAAGGTAGCAGGGTTGTTCGTCAGACCGAACGGCATGCCCACAAATTCGTAGTGGCCGTAACGCGTCCTTAAGGTCGTCTTGTGCTGGTCCTGCGACGAGCACTTCTTCGCTTTCGTGTCCAACATGTCTTGCTGCACTTCGTGCCTGCCTTCGGTCGGCGTCCAATATCAATGAAGTACCTAAGCTGGTCCCAGGGCCGCCCGGCGACCTGGTCGTCCCCGGGAGAGGGGGGAGGGGGGGGGGGGGCGCCTGGCCGGTTGTCCCGCCCTGTTGGCCACCTGGCAACCCCAGCGCATTCTGCGAGGGGGGGCCGATTGGGGGCCCTTTTTGCCGCCACAGGAGGACATCCAGGCCAACACACAAAAAAAAAGGGCCGGTAGGCCCGACTTCTGGAATTCGGAATCCGGCCCGATCTGCGCCGTCAATCTCCAAGATTGACAGCGCAGATGGGCCGCGATTTGAATTTCGTGAGGCGGGAACTACCGGCCCCTTTTTTTTTTCCCCACACGAGTGTTCCCCGTCAACCTGCCCGACGCCTCCCTTTGCCCGTGTTCATACGACGCCGGCAGCTCCGACGACCCCGCCAACGGCTGCCAACGCCCATCGACGCCTGCCATAGCGTGTCACCACGCTGCCGCCCGCCAAAGGCTGCCATTGCGGTCCCGCGCCGCCGCCATGGTAAGTGGGTTAGTTGCAGAGAGAGAGAGAGAGAGAGAGAGAGAGAGAGAGAGAGAGAGAGAGAGAGAGAGAGAGAGAGAGATAGCTTCTTCTTCTTCTTCTTCTTCTTCTTCTTCTTCTCTGATTTTGCTCATCCTATTGATGGAAGTAGCCTCTCTCTATCTCTCTGCGTGCATGGCTAGAAAGCTTTAACTCTCTCTCTCTCTCTTTCTCTCTCTCACACACACACACACGCATGTGAGCGAGCGCGTGTGTAGTAGTGTATATTTCGATGTTTTAGCCGTAGATTCGTTCGATTTTGCTCATCCTATAGATGGAAGTGCTCTCTCTCTCTCTCTCACACACACACACACGCACACGCACGGGTAGTAGTGTATATTCCGATGTTCTAGCGGAAGATTCATTCGGTTTTGCTCATCCTATCGATGGAAGTAGCATGAGGCCAGCAGCTGGGTTAGAGACTTACCTGTTGGCCAGTGCGTTGCTCAACCTATCAATGGAAAGTCTCTCTCTCTCTCTCTCTCTCTCTCTCTCTCTCTCTCTCTCTCTCTCTCTCTCTCTCTCTCTCTCTC